TTATCAGACTCCTATTTGTTGTTTATTACCCCTAGTTCTTCTATTTCCTCATGTAATAATGTATGACACTTATGGCACAGACATTTGGGTCACATCATGCTAAAAATTTGGATTACTTATTTTATTCTAGTTGTTTCCCTATGACTACTTCATTTAAGAATGTTGACAAATCCTGTTTAACTTGTTGCTATAGTAAAAGTCATGTTTTACCTTTTCAATCTTCTACTGGACATGCATCTACACCTTTTTACCTTATTCACAGTGATATGTGGTCATCTTCGGTTATTTCATGCTTGGGTTATAAGTATTTTGTGTTATTCGTTAATGATTGTACTTGATACACATGGGTTTATTTCCTTCAAAAGAAAAATCAGAAGTTTTATCCTTGTTTAAGAACTTTCATGCTATGGTAATGACCCAGATTAAGAGTACTATAAGCATTTTGAGGTTTGGWTCAGGGAGAGAGTACTATGATGGTGAAGATGGTGAGTTTCAAACATATCTTAAACAACATGGTATTCAATCCTAGAGATCTTGCCCTAGTATTCCTCAACAAAATGGAGTATCAGAGTGCAAGAATCGCCACATTACTAGTATGGTGAGATCCTTGATACAAGACTCTCATGCTATCCTTACCTTCTGGGTGGAGGCGACCCGCACTGTTGTTCACCTCATCAATATTCTTCCTACATTTATCCTTGGAAATTATTCTCCCCATCAATCCTTATTTCATCGCCCACCAAACCTATCCATACTTCGTGTCTTTGGATGTGTTTGTTTTGTCCATCTCTCTCCCCATGAATGCGCACTAAGCTAACAATTCAATCAGCTATGTGTGCATTCATGGGATATATAGTATGGAACACAAGGGATTTATTTGTTATGATCCCAAAGTCTGTAGGTTGTGTATTTCCCACAATGTCATCTTTCTTGAGAACCTTTCATTCTTTGAACATATTAATAAATTGCATGCACCATCCATTTCTATTTTGCATAACTTTGGTTCTACAAATGATTTTCCTTCTTCATTTCAGCCACTTCAGATGTATTTCAGGAAGCATCCAATTCGCCCATCGCCTATGCCTCCTCCACTTCCAGCAACAATGATTGGTCATTCCTCTTCATCCATTACTATTGTAAGTACAGGTTCTCCTCTCGAGGATTTACCTTCATCTATTCCTTTGCATCAGTCATCTTGTATTTCTCATCCACTTGATCACTATAGCTTCTTTTCTAGTCATAGCTCCTTCTCAGTTGTTTTGTCATCCACGGATATTCCTAAGTCTTACAACCAAGCCATAGAAGTTAAGCATTGGAAAGATGCTATGGATTCAAAAGTTTAGGCTTTATTGGAGAATGATACATGAGAACTTGTCTCTCCTCCCCCAAATGCCTCCACCACTGGTAGCCAGTGGGTTTACACCATGAAATTCAAATCAGATTAGACCATGAAACTCAAATCAGATGGTACTCTAGACAAATATAAGGCCCGTTTGGTTGCTCAAGGCTACAAGAAAGAGTATGGAGTTGACTATGATGAAACTTGTGCTCCTGTAGCTAAAATGACAACAGTTTGTTTGCTCCTAGACATTACTGCTCTTAGACAATATACAGTTCACTAGATGGATGTCAAGAATGCCTTCCTCCATGGATAATTACGTGAGACAGTTTATATGAAACAACCTCCCAGCTACTGTGACAATCTTCAGTTGGTGTTAAACTAAAGAAATCTCTATATGGTCTTAAACAAGCTCCATGAGCTTGGTTTGATCGAGTCCGTATACTAGTATTGGAGGATAGTTTTCAATAGAGTGCTTCAGATTACTCTCCATTCACTCTTAAGCGTGCTTAGGGGTTGACTCCTCTTTTAGTTTATGTTGATGATATCCTTATCATTGGAGATGATATGGATGGTATTAACAAACTGAAACTTCTGCTTAGTAACTCCTTCAAAATGAAAGATCTTGGGCCAGTGACATACTTCCTTGGGCTTGGAATTCAAAGATGTCATCATGGTAATTTTGTCAACCAACAGAAATATGCCTTTGACTTGGTGACTCTTGCTCGCTTGATTGACTCCAAACAAGTTGATATACCTCTGGAGCTTAACAATAAGCTGAGTAAGGATGAGGGTGATCTTCTCCCTAATGCTACCCTATATCGGCATCTTGTAGGTAGTCTTATCTACCTAGCCATGACTAGACTGGACATTTCCTATGCAGTTTAGATTGCGAGTCAGTTTGTATCTGCTCCATGCCAGCTCACTTTTCTACAGTTCTCCAGATTATTCATTATGTCAAGGGCACACTAATTATTTTTCTCATCCTCTTCGTCCACTCAGCTCTGAGCTTATGTAGATTTGATTGGGCAAGTTGTCCTGACACTCGTCGCTCTACTACTAGCTGGTGTATTTTCCTTGGTGATTCCCTGGTTTCTTGGAAATGTAAGAAACAACAAATGGTTTCCAAGTCATCTACTGAAGCCGAGTACAGAGCCATGCCCTTAGTATGCAGTGAAATAGTTTGACTTAAGGCGCTACTCCATGGCCTAGATATTGATCACTCATCTGCTATAACTCTATTGGTTGACAATATCAATGCAATCAAAATTGCATCCAATCCCATATTTCATGAGCGTACTAAACACATTGAGGTGGATTGTCACTTCATTCGTGACCTTCTCCATGCGGGTCACATCTCTCTCCCACATGTTTCATCGGGCTTACAGCTTGCAGATCTCTTCACCAAAGCCATGACCAATGCCCAACATAATTTTCTTGTGGACAAACTGATTCTTATACCCCAGTATCAGTTTGAGGAGGAAGGTGGAGAAAATAAAGGGTAGTTTTGTAATTTTACTGTATTTTATTATGCTTTCTTGTACTGTAATAGGCATGTACATTAGTGTACAGCTCTTTTATTTTCTTTGTAAGGACAATCTTGTCCGTTCACTTAAGTTTAATATAAATACATCTTTTCTGGGTTGGTTCGATCAAATTGATCAAGCCTAACAGATCTGAACTTGTGTTTCTCTTCTAGTTCTTTCAACTTCTCACGAACTAACTTCATCTTTGACTAGAATATTCAGCCCCATAATGTTAAACTCGAGGTTGAGTCTTGTGAGAAACTTAAATACCTTGCTTCTTTCAACTAGTTTCCTAAATTTCTCTACATCCTTGGTACTCTCCCATACGATTGTTTCCATTACATCAATCTCCTATCGGAATGACTTCAGCATATAGTAAACAACTACACTCCTCTCCCCCTATCTCATTCTCTTTTCTTACAACATTCAATTTCTGAGAATATGTTTCTATAACACTGCCCCAAATTCCCTTATTTGAAGTCATCTAGAGGTAATGCTAACTTATATGATGCTGCATAGAGTTGACTAACCACCTAGTCATTGTGTAGTTCTCCTCGATCCATTTTTCATATGTAGGATCAATCTCTAGTAGTTTCTCCTTACTACCTGTGAGATGCCCTACTTTACCTCTACTACAAACATAAATCCTTGTAGAGTGTGCCCGGGCTAAGTAATTTGTTCCATCTAGTTTAATTGTGGTCACTCCAATCAAAATGGAATCTGTTGGACTAACCCCAGACATTGAGATCTACTTCATCTCAAATTCTAGATTGGTTCATTGACAAGACAAAAATCCAGAAACAAGGTTTTTAGTCTCTAAGGGCCTAACTGAGGTCAATCTAGTACCTATATGTCCGAAAATTAGGGTTTCACTGCACCTCACTACTTGGGAGAAAAGGGAAAAGAAGCAACTACTCCTACTAGAGCTTTCCAAACTCCTTCAATTTCAACCACCCACTTTGGAAGATCAAAAGGAACCCCCTAAGCATTGAGTGCCACACCCAAACTGTCTCCTTAACCTGTAATTGTGAACTCTCTAGTCAAGTAGGGTTTTGGGCAAAAAATCAGTAGCCTCACTTTCTTGGCAATCTATAGTCAGATTCAATCTCTCCAAACCCTCAACCAACTAGGCACAAAAACTCTCAGAACAATCAACAACTCTCAGAGCACCTCCTCCTTCCAAAGCCTGGGGCTATTATATTTCCACAGAGGAGGATAGGAGTTCAGTGATTATAAAGGAGAGAACCGCTTGTTCTACACAAAGCCAATAGGTCAAAGAGTGCAATCAGGCTGGTTTTAAGGTGTTGTTACTGGGAACCAAATTGGTTTTCAAGAGGTGGTGCAAAGAGACTATTAGGATATTGTTGAGTGCATGCATCAACATTCGTTATGCCCTTGGTCCTTAGAATCTTGACTTCCAGAGTAATCTCATTTAAATGGATTTCAAGGTCATTCAGTTCTTTGGCTGACAGTTTTTGTTGGGGGCCACTCAGAGGAGCAAGTTACGACGGATTAGTCTGTGATATGCCATACAATGCAAAAGGCTTGAGCCATACAGTACAAGAGGAGGAGGAATGCTCTTCTTGTTCTCCTTTCTTTACTTTTCTTTTCTTTCTTGAGTCATGCATGAGCCATATAAAGCAAAAGGCATTTAAGGCGTACACCTCAGAAGCATCCACACCTCCAATGTATGCCTCAAAGTATTTTGAGTGTGCCTCAGGGCATCCACACATCAAATGGCTTTTAAAACACTTAATCCCCAAAAGTTGCTTCTGAAATTACTGAAGCTGTTTTCTACACAAATGACCTGGCAATAGAACCCCATAGATTTCCTGTCACTATACCCTATACCATGTTTTCCTTATTTTATTCTTTCAGTTTATCTTCTAGCATTTTAATTGTTCAATATTCCTATGGTTATCCTGAATCAGTGAGGTGACTTACATTTTAATAACTTATTCTATTTTTTATTTGGAGAAGAAATATGTAAAAGAAAAGGAGCAGAATTACATAAGTTCATCTACAACCCCTAGTCTCCAATGCCAAAAAGGATGAATATGCAGAATATAATAGATCATCTCATGAACAATATGAAAATTTTCCAATTCTTGGCATTTTGTCAGGATATAGTCTACCATTGAAGATAGGGCTTGTAACCCAGCTGAACGCAATTGTTCTGCCCTCTCATCCTGCCCTACTTCTTGAGACAGCATACAAAGCTTTGGAATCATGCCTTCCAAATTGAACATGTAAGTACCATCAGTCTGTCACAATTAAGAAATATGGCATGAGTATAAAGTCTTCTGCTGGAAGAGACACGTATGCTTCACAAAAAGCTATTCTTAAAGCAGAGTTTTCCATGTGTAGGATGCAGCATACTGAACAAGAAAGAACCAACTGATAGTTAATCACTATCTACCTGATTATTTACAAAATCAAAAAGTGTCTGACATCCTATAATGCGGATTTCATCCTGCCGTGTTTGATCCAGCAGAATGTTTATGATGCTCAATAAACTACTTGCAAAGAGTGGCCTGAAATATATTCTCAATGGTCAGAACTTAGATTTGCAAACCCAATAGAGAGTAACTATATTAGCATCTTCATTTTATTTTTTTTCTTTTTATTTCTTTTGCTTTTAATAGAAAGTAAATAGTACTTGTTTTGCATCAGAAAATAGTTATGAAATTTCTGAGACAAAAATATGGAAACAAATTCAAGGGAAATTTGATAAATCATAATTCTTAAAATGAAATCCAGAGATGGCAAACATTTCAGTATATGTTAAACAACTGTTCTAGGAAGAACCCTCCTCCAATATTTCTATTTTGGATTTTGAAGTCTCCAGCAAAATGTGTTAGACAGTATATGCCCTTAGCTCCAACCAAAATGATGTACCTTATGACATTTAACGTAAATGAATAAAGTACATATTTGATTCATGTTATTGTGGTGTGTTTCTGTGTAATGCCCTTAAACTTGACACATATGAGACTCGTGTTAGTTTAGAATCTTCACAGCCATTGGATAGATCTGGGGATATTTATCCTGCCAACTGATTGTTAGACAGTTTTGTATGCCCTTAGCTTCAATCTAATTTGATGTACTTTTGTTATTTAGTGGAAATAAATAAAGTGCATGTTTGATTCATGTT